AATAAGATTGATATATAGTCAAAAGATACAGAGTTTATTTTGAGCAGCTAATAAAGAAATCGATTTCAAAGGAGAAAATTTTTATAAATTTTGATAGATATAAAAGAAATTTGCAAAGCAATTCATAGAAATGATTCATGCTTTTAACGAGTCAGAGAAAACTAGTTTGACAAAAAAATGTTTGTTCTTTTTCAACCTCTTGAAAGAGCTTGTACAAACTTGCAAACATTAAGCCAGTATCAAACTTTTGTGTTCTTTTCGAATATATGACTTCTGGCTTAAGAAAGTTATGAATTGACATTTTCAAGGCTCGTAAATTATATTTGAATGAGCTTCAGCGCACCAAAACTTACTCAGAGTCGAAGTAAAAATTGTTTCAAATACAGTGAACAAATGAATATACATTTCTCGAAAAAAATAAGGTATTACTAATTATTAGTTTGCTCCAATTCATCTATCAGCAAACAGTTTTTTGATAAGGTGAACAGTGTCAATGTCGGAAATTTTCTAGATTTCTATGGAAAACATACTTATAAAGTGAGCTCAGTCATTTCTGAATGATTATTCTGAACCTCTTGATTCTTATATGCCTTTGCAGAGAACAATCTCGTCTTTACAGCTATGTAGAAAAAAATTGGCAGTAACATGTATGCAGTTACGAAGACTATTGCTACAAAAAAAAGTCAAAATTTGATTTTCGTGCGTTTACAAAGTCGGCTGATAATGCTTAAGTCAGAAGTTCTGAAGAAATATTGAACATATATTTGGAAACAATACAAAATTTTGATTCGAACTCAATAGTTTCAAACTTTTTTAGTCTCTTTGAAGCAATTGAAAAATATTGGTAATATCCTATTCATACATTTTACAAAGGGCAGTCTTTCTCACATATATTTTTTCTGAATTTATTTGGATAAGAAACAATTTTGTTTATTTTTCATGTTTATTTTGTTAGATTTATGTATGGCTTTATTCATAATGTTGGTTGTCGATTAATAAATCGTACTTATGAAGATTTACATTATGAACAAGTTATGAAATGGATCTTACATCGAGAGTAAATCTTTATGAAAGAAAAAAAAAAAGATTTTTATAATCCTATGTTTATATTATTTAGGAATGCTGAATTATGGAGTGCTAATTTAGATGAATTACCACCAAATTATGTACCACCGGAATCAGAGCGTACATGGGGTCTTGGATGGTTTAAACGATAGATTTACGGCTTTGTTTTTGTTTTATTATCTGTGTGAAAAAAAACGCAGTTTCTTTGTTATAAAATTTATACACATAAAGATATCAATTTTAGATATTTCTATATAATTCTTTCGTGAATGAAATAATGAGCATTATCTTGAATGTAAATTTAAATATTTATCAAGTTTTATTTTGTAGTTGAACTACAACATTAAATCATGAGTAAAAATAATGAAAAACTTTCACAGTTCGATAAAGGTTCATAAAATTTTCTTCATAATTAATTCTCGATTTCATTAAAAAAACAATCGTTACTTTGGTTAATGAATTGTATCCTTTTGTGAAAATTTATTTTAAAAATATTCAAAGAACGTTTGAAATCGTTTACCTGTTACATATTTTGTTCGTTGTGAGCGAAGAGAATCAAGATTGTTAGATGCATGCATGTTACGTAATAAAAGAATAGAAATAAGATCACTCAACAAAGGTATCATTTAATCATATTCTTCCTTGAACTTGACCATTGACAAAACGTAATATTTCTCTTTCCATTCTTATATAATCACGTGAGTTCTTCATAGATTGTGTCAGCTTTTCTTTCTTATACATCGACCACATCATAATAGATCAGAAGAAGATATTCGTGAATACACCCTTCTCATATCGTTTCCCATCGTACCATATAAAAACTTCTTAATCTACTCTCTTGTCATCGACCCAATCGCCTGTATGCTTGTCTCCATTGGCATAGTAATATGTGCCTTTTCCATTATTCTTGTCATCCTTGAATTGTCCTATGGCTTGTTCATAGATTATATCAACTATCCTGTCTTATGTATCGAAAATCACAGTAGATCAGGAGAATCTATTTGCGAATACTTCTTCTCGTATCGAGCACTATTAAACGATGTTAAAACGCCTTGAGCTATTTCCCATGGTGAGGAATAACAAAAAAACGGTCCTTGCTGCCGAGAAGACAAGCAAAAGACTCACTGATTATTTTTTTGTGCGATCATAAAGAAAAAATTCAACCACAAAAACATCTTAGAAATTGGAAAGAAATAACTTGTACAGTTGGATTTACATAAATTCCGGCCTGTACTTAAATAGACCTCATTGAATCCTATTAAAAACAGTATGTTTTTTTTTATTAGTTGCAACATTCTGTAATGCGGAGCAGGATGCGTTATTATTTAGATGTACTACTCAGCAATATGATCCAGTGCTTAACAGGACGTCATAGTGTGAGTTTGAATCAAAAATAGATCCACATCCATACATACCCCCAAAAACGAAAAATGCCATTAATCATTGTTCCCAAACAAAAAGAATCTATTCGCACCAAGAAAAAATATAAGAAGTCTAATATGATCGGAACACCTTTGAAATATTTTATAATAGAATTTGATGTAAGATTTGAGAGACGATGCTTTTACATACAGTTTTCATATAATTTCGTCTAGCCTGCAAGATTTTATGTTTGACTTTTTGGCTTGAGAATGTTTCTTGTTTCTGACAGTCAAATCCCATCGGATTCTGAGTGTTGAAGATTTCAGAGATTCTATTGAGTCTGATTGAATGGCTTCAACCTTGATCACCCTATTACATCATCGTATACGGAGCGATACAATTATATGAGGAGTAAAACGAAGCGAAAAGAAGACTGTATACAACTGCCATGTAAGAAAAAAATCAACAGACATTCTGTTTTCTTCCTATATTATTGTATTTCTTTATATACGATCGTTGACGACCGTACCTATATACCCTAAAGGTTTGGCACGTATTTCGTTGAAAAATATTGCTCCCTTTAATCCATTGATTCGTTATTTTTCTTTCCATTTTCATGTTAAAGAACAGAAAAAATGCTGATTGAATTCCTATGGATTTTTGGAAACAAAGGAAAATGTTGCACTTTACAGTCTATATATAGACACAAGTAAGTACTTGATATAGAATTGAAAGAAAAAACCAAGTTTACGTACAGTTTCTGCCTTATAGCTTTAGTATATAATTGTTGATTTCGAACGCTAGTAGTTATTGGCAGAAACAAGAAATTACATGATCACAGTAAAAGCTAAAGTACAGAGCAGACAAGTCTATACGAATACTAAAACAAATTTCAACTGACGCATTTTTCAAAATGTTAGATATTTCAACAAAAACTCCAATGTTTTTGTCTCTCATCAATTTACCTATCGAGCTTGTTTATCGTATTCTTGACAATCTCGATGATTTAACGATTATTATGTCCCTTCGTAACGTTTGCTCTCGACTTAACATATTGATCGACACATATAATCGATATCAGGTAAGTGTCCGTCACATTTTGAAAATTAATTTTTTTTAGCACTCTCGATTTCTCTTAATCTCGATGTGTTAGATCAAATAGAATATATGTAGTCAAAAAAAATATAATAAATTTTTCCTTCCGATCGTTTCTCATATTATTATATAAAGATTTAACTGAAGAGAATATTTCTAAACCTTATATTTTGATATTGCACATGATGTAGACACTTACGACACTGAATATTTCAAATATACAATTGAGAAATCAAGAATTATTATGTCTCTCTAATATATTATCGAATAATACAGTAAAACAATTGTTCTAATCATGACAATATCATACTGATGTTTATGATTCGATATAGACACTCGTAATATTGGATCTTTCATGCAATAAAATAGGTGATCAAGGTGCACTATATCTAGCAAATGCATTAAAGAACAATATAGTAAGTGAGATTTCAGATGGATCTAATTTAGATTCATCTTTACCATTTCTATACAGACCCTGATGACATTGAACCTTGCAAATAATGCTATTGGTTTTCAAGGAGCACAATATCTAGCTGATGCGCTACATAACAATAAGGCGAATAAAAAAAAATTCATCCATATGTTTAATATTCATCTTTGACATTACATATAGACACTCACTACACTCATTCTGGAATTTAACAATATCGGTTCTCGAGGAACTCAATATCTGGCTGATGCAATACGTAATAATAAAGTAAGTGACAATTCCTTATGATTCTATCTCGTATTCTTCTTACTTACATTACGTAGTCAATCAAAATACTGAATCTTCGACGAAACAAAATTGGTACAGACGGCATACAATATTTGTCTAAAGCACTTAAGAAGAATGAAGTGAGCAAAGTTGTTGATTTATTTATTTCATATTTGTCTTCATCGTTTGACGCAGACACTTACTACGTTAGTGCTTGATCTCAATCTTATTGGACAACAAGGAACAGAATATCTAGCTGATGCATTGCAAAATAATAAGGTGAATAACGTTTTCTATTCCTCTATATTATGATTTTTTTTTGACTGTTGAACATAGACATTAAAAATAATACAACTTGGATACAATGTAATAGGCATTGAAGGAACACGGTTTCTAGCTAATGCATTAAAAACAAACACAGTAAGAATAATTCTGTATCTTTGCATTTCATATTCATCTTTACCATTCGATATAGACACTTGAAACGCTGACACTCGAAGTCAACAATATCGGTTACGACGGAGTACAATATTTGATTGATGTATTAAGAAATAATAAGGTGAATGACAGTTTCTATACATCTCTATTTTCTACAAGTCTTTATCATTTCATATAGGCATTGACAACTTTAAATTTACGATGGAACCAAATATGTAACCAAGGAGTACAATATCTGGCAAATGCATTACACAATAATACAGTAAAATATGGTTTCTTTTTTATTCCGTTATTGCACATTGACGTGTATCCATCAATTTAGATACTCACCACATTAAATATTATGATGAATGATATTGACTTTCGAGGAGTAAAATATCTGGCTGATTCGTTACAGAATAATACAGTAAATGAAGTTATCTTATTTCATAAATGTTTCATTGTTCATTTTTGTCCTTTCATAAAGACACTTACAACACTACATCTTGGTGGTAATACAATAGGTTTTGAAGGAGCTCGAGTTTTAGCTAACGTATTACAAAATCATACAGTGAGATCAAATTTCTATGTATTTTCTTCATTGATAGTGTTTGTTTAATATAGACACTTACAGAATTGATGCTTGAAGTCGGTGACATTGGTAATCGAGGGACACAATATTTAGCTAATGCATTAGAAAATAACAATGTAAGATCATTTCATGAATAAGTTTTTCTTTTTTATGCTGATTTTTATCACATAATACAGACTCTAACAACGCTAAATCTTCAAGAGAATGGCATAAGTGATGAAGGAGCATACTATTTGGCTAATGCATTACAAAACAATACAGTGAGAAAAGATTCTTATTGATTAATATATCTCATATTCATTTAAACTATTATACATAGAAATTAAAGATATTAAATCTTTCAAAAAATAAAATTCATTCTCAAGGAGTGTTACATCTGATTAAGGCATTAAAGTATAATGCAGTAATATTAATTTTCTTTTTGTCTATCTCATATTCATATGTATTCATATCACGTAGATACTCATGACACTGAATATTCAATTCAATTTGATAGATGATGATCAAATAGTTCGACAATTGGCTAATGATCTAGAAAATGATCTAGCTAGAATTCTGTGGTAATATCATTACATCAATGCTCGTCACAATGTCTTGAACTTTAATATTTCAAAAGATATGAATCATATTATATTTTTTTTTCACTCTACGTAAAATGTCTTGTAATTTTCAAACACGATGATATACATCAATCAAACATAAAAACTGAAAAGAAAGCACTCTTCATAATATATCTTGGATATTGAGGAAGTACTTTGAACATATCATAACGTTGTAATTCGTTTCTGTATTTCTACTCAGAAATGATCGTCAAATACAAATCTTAATTGAGACTGAATGATTATTACAAATTACACTCTAAAATGAGACTATGTTTAGTGACACTCAAAAAAAAAACTTAATAATGAAAGAATATCTATCATTATTTCTAGACAAAAACTAGATCTGTAACGCATAAATATTGGAATAAACTCAGTCTTCTCTACGTAGTGTCTAGCTAGATCTTTTGTTTCTAATATCTAATGGATAGATGTCGTCCGTAATCATACATTAGAATGAAAGTTTTAATTTTGATGACGACCAGTAAATATGATTTTCCATATTAAAACAAATATATTTCATTTAGAAAAAATTTAGGTACTTAGAAAAATTAAAATTCTTATATCATCAGTTGTCATGGAAAAAACAGTATCGCCTATTGTTATGATAGACAAAAAAACCGAACTAATCATACGATGAGTTATTGATTAATCATAGTTCTTTTTTTTTTGAGTTTGATAATTCATTGTTTCTAAACACTTTTTTTTTTGTTCTCCATGGAAGACGATAATCTGATTCTTCTTCTAAATACAAATAAATTTGAAACTACTACACCTATTCAACAAAAACGTGAACCATTAGTTGAAATAGCCGATAATGATGATCATGATTCAATAGTAACAATGACTTGTCTAAATGATCGTATTCCACCAAGTAATTCTAAACGTCATTTCGATGACATTAAATTAGTTCGACCATCATCAGCTACAAGTCAAAGTTCACATTCAAAAAAACAAGAAAAAATTATTAATTATGCACCTCATTTAACATCAGGTGGAAATCGTAATTCAAATGATAATTTAATTCAATCATCTATCGATGTTACTTTATCATCAAATTCATCACCTGCTGAACGACAACAACGACAGTCACCAACTGATGATGAACTTGCTATTGTAACTATCGTTGGTGCTGAAGATAATGGAGAACGAGAAAATGAAAATCCAATAGATAACAGTAAGTATTTACAAGATATTTAAGAAATTTTCAAACACTGACATTGTTCATATATATTTTTTTTTGAAAATAGATTTCACTAATCCATTACTAACACCATTAACTTTACCAAAACCATCTATTCCATCTCAAGTACATTCAACACCTGATGTTCAAATATCACGTTTTGACAAAGATTCAGCAACATCGAAAACTGCTTTTGCTCGTTCACAATTAGCTAAACGTTTTTCAATAAATCAAAGACAACAACGTTCTATACCAATTCAATCACTTTCAAATACTACAAACAATGATTTAACATCAACAAGTGAACAACAACAAACAGCTACATCTCTTGCTGCAACTGTTGCTGCATCAGTGGCTGTTTCTGTTGCTCAACCATTTCTTAAATTACAAAATGAATTCGAACAAAGAATGAATAATGTACTTAATGAAATTCAACAACAACAACACAAAGCACATACAAATGGTGTTGTTATCCCTGTAACACATGTTCAACAAACAACTGATTCTAATAAATTCTTAAATGATTGTGTTGATACAAGAATGAAACATATGGAAAAAGTACAACAACAACAACAACAAGCACTTAAACAACTTGCTAATCTTGTACAAACAAAAAAACCGAAATCTAAATCACCTGTTCGAGAACATAACGTATCTCATTTCGAATCAGATACACCACCACAACAACAACGTCATTTTCTTGATACACTTATTGGAACATCATCACCACCTATTCGTCTTCCTAAGACACATAAAAAACATCATACAAATAAAAAATCTACAACATCACCATCATCATCAAATAAACGTCCAAGTCGTGTTACTGGTACTAATACACGTACAATCAAAGTTCGATCACCAGTTACATTCACAGAACAACCACCTCATAGTCATTTTAATATTGAACCATCATTTCCATATGCTTGTGCAGTATGTGATCGATCAAATTCTCGTTCTCGTTCACGATCTCGTTCACCAACAAAAGGTCTTTCACCTGATTCATCTTATCCTCGACCATATGTTCCTGTTCCTCGACCATCATCAATAATGTCTGATGGTTTTATACCATCATCAACAATAACTGGTAATGCTTTAAAAGAAACTTATCCACCATTTGATAAATATTTAAATAATTCTATTCCACCATTACCACTTGAACCAAAATTAATACCATCGATTAATGATAATCTTGATCTTCATGAACGTATTAAAGAAATAGATGAAGCTAAAAATTTATTAGATGAAAATTATTCAACATTACAACGACGTCAAAATGATGTTACACTTTTAAAACCAATAACAGATGATTCATTACGTGTACAACGTCTTGTTGAACAATGTGTTAAACAAGTTACACGACAAGTACGTGAAGAAGTTAAACTCAAACTTGAACAAGATGATATACAAAATGAACAAAAAAAACCTATAATAACTACAAAAAAACGATCAACATCAAAAACACAATTAGCTTTTGATCGTCATTCAACAATACGAACAGGAAAAGAAACAAGTCCTAGTAAAGAATCATCAAAATCAACAAAACCTTATAGTGATGCATTTATGGAAGCTGTTTATGGACGTTCATTATATGACAAGATTAAAAAAGATGGTAAACAACCATATTTTAAATTAAGACAACAAGCTATTCAACAAGCCAAACAAGCAAAACAAATTGAACAAATACCAGTAAAAGATACTGGATTAGTAAGAATAAAATATGATTCTCTTTTTTTTTAATTACATTTTATTTTTAGAAACCTTCACCAAGTGTATTTGTTCCTCCTCGTTGTATTATACAACAATCGTCTTCAATACTTCCTCCACCACCACCTGTCTATGAACCAGAATATTATACACGTCCAGATGGTGTTATTCTTCTTGGTCCACCACAAATTCGTGATACACGTACTTTTCAACCAACTTATATACCTTCGACACATAAATTAACACCACATATTTTACCTAGTGTTGATATTGATTCATCAACGAAAAAAGTTCGTTTTGGTCAAAAAACAGAAACAGTTCGAGTTGATTTAGATGATAATGACGAACAAGAAGATGATGATGGACAAGGTATTAAAATACCTGGTTATCACGATAAAAAAGATGAGTATCAACAAACATATGATGGTCCAAGATTTCCACCAACAATTCCTCATGATGAAGGTTATCGTAATCGACAATATGATACATTACAATCAGGTGCTATTGATTGGTTAGAACAAGAATTAATTGCACGATTTATGAGTCAATTACAATGTCGACAAACAACTATACCTATAAAACAACATCGTGATATTATAAGTGCACGTTCATCAACAAGTTCAAGTAGTGATGATCCAAGTCTTCATTGTCGTTTACTTGATTTACTTGGACAAGATGGTTTTCAACTTATTATTGATATGGGACAACCAATTGATCAAGATTTAATACAAGCATTAACACGTGAAGTACTTGAAGAACGTATTGCACAAATGATTGGTTTTCGATCACCAAGAGAAAGTATACATGTATTACCACCACCTGCTCCACCACCACGTACAACAACCCCGACAACATCAACAACAGTTTTAATTGATCATCATCATCATTGGCCACAAGAAAATAGTGTACCAACACCACAACCAACTCCACCACAATCACCACCACCTGTACATCATCCACGTGTTGTTACACCAGAAATTACAGGTACAATTTAATTAAAATAGAATAAAAAAAAAAGAATTTTTAGATACGATTTCTTTTTTTTTTTTTGAAAATCTAGGTCAAGAAGTTTCAACTGAAAGTGAACCTACAACACCACGTTCTATTACACCACAAGAAGATCTTGATCGTCCTCTACCTTCTACACTTCATCATAGTGTTGGTACACCTGAACCAAGTGAAAGTCCATCACCACCTTCAACTCCACGAGTACCACAGCCACCAATCATACCACAACCACTGCCTACTATTGAAAAACGTGATGCAAGTACTATGGCTACAATTGAAATACCACCTCCTGTTATCATTCCACAACCACGACCACCATCTCCACCACCTCGTCCAAAACCAAAAACACCTTCACCTGTTTCGTCAACATCATCATCATCATCATCATCGACAAGTTCAAGTAGTTTATCATCATTATCTATTCCATATTCATCAACAGATAGTCCATTCAGTGATCATGTGTGGTTTGAAGATCGTAGTGAAGGTCAAATTAATTTATTCGATCAAGATCAACCACAAACAGAACTTATTCTGAGACAAGCTCAACGATTATTAGATCAACGACGTCGAAATTCATCAATAACACCTGCTGGTATGAGTTTTGTTTCACCTCCATATTCACCAGCTGGTGGTACTCATACATTATCTATTGGTGAAGTACCTCCTCAATATCCAATACCATCTACTTTTCAAAATCAAGATAATGAACATACAACTCCAACAGGATCAGATGAAAGCAATAATTCAGGTAAAAGTGAAGGTGAAGCTCCTTCAACTATGACGACCAATCAACAACAAGGGCCGATAAATATTAATATTCGACGACCAAATAAGAGCTTCTTAGGAAAAAAGAATAATAGAAAATAAACTATATTGCTGTGTTTTTTCTTTCGTTTTTGATATTCATATTAATTCATAAAACCTTTGATACGTAGAATGTTTGTACTTTTAATTATAATTTATTCGTACATAGATTAGAAAAAAAAAATTTGTGTTTTATATATTATTTCCTATTATCAATCATTATCAGTAACATATTTGATTGTTGCATCGGCATTGCCATGTTTTGCTTTATATGTATCAAATAAACGTTTTAATGCGTCCATATATTCTGTATGATATTTATCAATAATTTCAGGTGTAATGTTATCATGTTCTAATTTTGGTAAATGTATTGGTTCACCAACATATGTATCAATAGCACGTCGATTTGGTAAAAATCCAAATGCATATTGAAATATTCCACGTCCTTTAAAAAATGGTGTTGCATAACCTAAACGTTGTTGCATTTTTATTTGTATTTGTCGTAATTTTGAACCACGTGGATTTGGTATTTGATCATAAAGATCATTTTCACCAAAAGAAAAAACTGGTACAAGACTTGCACCATGAGCTAAACCAATTTTAACAAAACCTTTACGATTTTTTAATGTTAAAAAATATTCTTGTGATGGACGAGCATCTAGAGATTCTTTAGCACCACCCAATACTAATAATATACTATTACCATTACCTTTTGCTAATATATAATTACATGATTCTTTTGAAGCATCACATAGACCCATAAATGATAAATAAAGACCGTAGAATGGTATACGAAAATTGATTTTTAATGTTAGTAAACGAAGATCAATACCAGGAAATTTTTCTTCGAAACCAGTTGCTTCAGTTGCAAAATTACCAAAAGCACCAAGTGAAATAATTCCATGCGGATGACAACCAAATATATATGGACGATCTGGTGGTAAATCACATGTTTTATGTAAACGTATAGGAAAATAATCTAAATAAATAATATTAAAAGATTCATATACATATATATTTCTTTTTAAAAAGAACTTTTTATTTACCAGCAAACCATTTCCACCATTTGAGTCGTCGAAGCCATTGTTGTTTTAATCCACCTTGTCTGGGATATTTTTGAAAAAAAACCATCCATGTTAAATAAGTAATAAAAGCACCAACAACATACCAATTTTGACAACGAAGAAGAAGTAATGATATATAAAGACATACCCATGGCATAAGCAACCAAACAAGAATTGTTAAAGTTTGTCGTCGACGATATAATGGAGTATTCAAGGGAGCAAATGTACGATTAATTGATGTTGGTGTTATTGAAGTTGAATGACTAACTAAATTTTCTGTTGCTGTTGTCGCAGAATTTTCGTCGGTAGGTTCATAAGTTGGAATAGAGGATTTTGTAGATGAAACCTCTTCCGTCATTATTATACGTATAGAATGATATATCAAATAAAGAGCACTATCTTATTATCTTATATTGCCAAATTTTATCTTTTCTTTTTATGGTAGTAGTTCGAAACAAAAATAAATAATAATACCTGTTCTTTCATCATAAAAAAAAGTATATAATGACCGTTGATATCAGTCGAAAATTTTTTTGTAACTCTGTATTTTCTATTAACATAGGCATATTTTTTATAGCTATTGAATATAGTTTTCTAGACTATGGACTATAAAAAGTAATGATACTAGTACAAATTACAAGGTTAAATATAAATAACGACTTGTTATTTTTTTTCCTCTTCCTTCAATTTATTCTTATCATTCCCATGTTTTTTTTTGTCTGTAGATTGCGCTCTCTTTTTTTTTTTGTCGCAAGTATAAATATGGACCTTGTACATTGATCTGCATGGCAGTAAAAAAAAAGAAGCAACAACTATATATTTGTACTCATTACTTCTTTATATTTATATTGACAAACTACAGCATAAATGTTTAAAAATAAATAATAAATAAAAATAGTTTACAATTACTTATTCTTTCGTTCGTTTAAGATAATTATTCACCTGAAAAATTGTTAAGTAATATTTAAATATTAATTTTATATTTCTTTATTGTCAAAATATCGATTGTTATTGATATATATTTTGCATAGAATAAAGCATTAAAAAAGAATACATATTTTCTATTCAATATAATATTGATTGAAATTGATCATCAATGAATACGTATGAGAAAACAGGGAATATTATTTGATTAGAAACATTTGTTGAGTTCTGTAAATATACATTCGACCACTCGAAAAATGATTCATTTAATTTATTTTATCGTATGGAATGGAAATATAACACAGTTTGACATGACTGAAATCAATTTTCAATAAAATCTCGGTAAGTTTGCAACATATTCATTATTTTTTTATGTTCTTTACAGTTTAATTATATTTGATCTTCAACGTGAGAATTTGAAGGTATTGTCATTGATTATATCTTCATTTTATCAATTCATATTCGTTGCTGAACATGGATCATGACTATTTTTTAGTCAAAACTCTCAATCGATGGCTTCAAGAACTAAATTATTTAGATCTATTTGATATGAATATAAGGTGTAAGGATAAGTCATCTTCCGATGATTAATTAGTATAAATATTATTTAACTCAACTATAATAATTACAAATGTTACAATGCATCATTACTAGAAAAAAAACATTAGTTTCTACAAAATCTTATTCATTTTCTTTTCGTTCCTCTGTGGCTACACGAATGCTTTAATCTATTAAGAATAAATATTTACAAATAGTTCATATTTATGCTAAGAATATATAATCATGAAATCAATACAAACTTACTAGTATTGTTCAATTTGTTCATTTAATCTGTAGATATTATTAAAAAGATAGACAGAGAACATCTCCAGTTTAGTGACTCATTTATACAAAATGAATCATATATGATCAGTTTGATTTCATGAAGCAGCAATCGCTAGATATAGTTTTGATTATTAATGAAATATCAGTGTTTAATTAAATATGTTTATATACCTACAATACACTAGGGTGAAACTCTCACTAAATAAACACTGCAAAGACTTATAGATTATTGATAGTATAAGAAGATTGCTTTTTAATATGTTTGACCAAACTTGACAATATTCATTAGTAAAAAAAAAAAACTTACAACAAATGCCAGTTTTGTACCTGTTTTGAAGTGAATTAATTACAGAAGAAAGCATTCTAGTTACATCTTCCGTTCTATTGTAATTATCACATTCTTTTGATTGTCTTCACAGTTGTAAGCGAAGTTAAGAACAATTCGAATAAAACGTTAGAAGAAAAATTAATATTGGTTTTGAATCGTTTTATGTTACAAGAATAACCAATGATTTTAAAAAATAATCAATAGAATGATTCAACACAATTGTCTATTTCTATCGAACTAGGAATGTAGTACTTTTAAAAGAATTGACTCTGAAAAAATAATCTTTCCTTAAAAACAACCTCTGTTGTATGCTTTTCAAAATTACTATTATTTTTTTCTCAAATCAAATACTTTTCATGTTTAGATGAACCTTACGAATAATCATCTCTTATACAAAAAATCGAATTCATCAATGTTTTATCATAATAGTGTTAACTCATTTCGAAAATGTTTGGTTCGAAACTATCTCTCTAAGTTTTTCATACTTTTTTACTTTACTAAAGAACGATACTATTCAACAAAATAATACAGCTAGTTCGAATGAAATTCTCTTTTTTCATTCTATCATGATATTCAACAAAAATCTCATTCAAATTATTTATTGATGTTAACATTGTCTTATCCACCAAAAGAATGTAATAATCAATTAATGCAAAACTTTACATATGAAATATGATGAAATTCACAATCAAATCATCAAAGTCCAGCAGTAAAAAGGAGTCATCGATGAAAAAACTATGAAATTATGAATAGGTCTTCACATAAAGAGAAGATCATTTGTAGACAATTCTATGGAGAATTCACCAAAACTGACTATTGTATTTGAATTGATTGTAATCAAATTCGTAATACTATGAATAAATATAAATTTCTTCAAGTTATGGGGATATTATTGATAGAATTGAATGGGAGCGTCAGTTCTATTGGCAATACGTGAGATAACTATTCAATATACACACGGAAATAGTTTTTCATCTCTTATTTTATGAAAACTTTTATCACTATTGTAACTTTTTGAAAGTAGTCTATGGTTGAATCGAACTCATGTACACAACTTGATTGGTCGAGCATAATCTTGTATAGTTATTTCATCTAGATTTCATATTTGATTGTCAAAGTCTAATCTACTTGAATTAGTTCACAAAGACAATAATGAAATATGAGAAATTTAATCATTATATAAAGCAAATTTACTTTGATATACAAATGAAAATTTATAATTGGTAAAACTGTATTAGTTTCGATCTTTGATGGGCTAAGAAAAAAGAAAGATTTATTAGATCAACAATTGGTTCACAACTAATAAGTACGAGCAGTAACAGTGGCACCTTAGAATTGTGAAAATGTATTGTCGAACTATATAATTTTTATATCAGTTTATATACAAACTGTATATATGGTACGAAGTTGATGGCTCTTGAGCTTGAAGAACATTTTAAATGCATTTTAATGATTATATTGGATTGGGTTAAGTAAAGAAACCACGAATCATTGAAAATAATGCCCTTTTAAATATCAAAATGTATCTTTTCTTATATCAAAGGCTAAATTTCATATTATCAAGTTATGTAAGCAAAAATATAAAGAAGTGACACAAATAATCTTTGTAATTATGCTTATTTCCCAAACATATAATAGTCTAAGACAAATTATTTTTTTCCTTAACCCAAAACTTATTAAATTTATCTATAAAAGTCTTTTTTTTTGTAATTGTCATCATCTCAAGAGTAGATGTCTAATTTGTGTTTGAAAATAAATGCAAAATTTAAAAGAAGTCGCATCCATTCAGAGACAGCACAAAAGCAACAGAAACAGGTTTGTTAGCTGATGTACTATCGACTTTATAAATTCTAAGGCTCACTCTTATCAAAGTAGAAAAAAGCAAAAGAAATAATTTACATAATTTGAATTCATAAATTGGAAAGAACACCCTCTTGAAATTGCAAAAAAAGCAAAAGAAAGAATGTATATAATTCGTATTTATGAATCCAAATTACAAAAGTTATTTCTTCTGCTATTTCAACACGGCGGGTGTTTTCTTTTCAACTATTTTCGAAGTAATGTTAAACAGTTAGGTCTTCATTTATATACGAACTTGAATTAGGCGACTCGTACAATTCAAACTGTGTCTATAATCTCCTAGGTAAGTATTATGAAAACTTTGCTATAACATCAGAGTAATTGAATTGTTTATTATTACTAATTCTGAAATAGTTATTCGCAACGCCTTAGCCTTTTTTTCTTATCTGTCACGTGATTATCAACCTTTAATCAATAACGAAAAACAATAGACAAACAACAAAAATGCATGTATTTCGATAAAAAAAAAAACACCATGCATGCACACCTTATCAATGGTTAAAACGAACAGTTGATGTGTGTATTAGACAAGATTATTGTAAACACTAATAATGGAAAACAATTTTGAACAACTTATTACTACACTT